ATTTTANGTTTTTTGGAATTTAAACCACGTGGATTATTATGAGAATTAAGTTGAACACTGCTATGCTTATTAAATAATTTATTAATTTTTTTTACATGATTTACCAAAGCATATAGTGCTTGGAAACTGTAATGTTAGAGATCAAAGTGATCTTCCTCATTTTTCTCAAAAATTCGACGACGTTACACCATTGGATACTTCGAATAAACTAGAGTACATATAGGTTGATGGTGTTATGAGTGCGCGTGAATTTCATTTAAAATAATCAAAAACTGTTGAATATAAACTAAACAAATATGCAACATTACGAAAACACTCCAAACAACATGATAAAAAAAATACCTAAAAAGTGCCCTTAAATGTCATTTTTTTTTTTTGCTTAAAAAGGACCGGGAGGAAAGTAAAGTCTTCAATCTTAGCTCAATTTGTCAATAACTTTCCATAATGGAGACTTCTGTAATCTTTTAACACGTTGCTAAAATCAACGTCAATTGATGCCCGATCAACACTATTTTCGACTGTTTTGATCTATCATGCAGTCCTACATGCATGTTACATCACCTAATCCAAATTTTAAATAAAACCTAATAGATGTTCTTAGCCAAACTTGAACTCAAATTTCATTTATCATCACAGAAGAACTTAAAGCCTTGCCGGAGTACTTAATAATCCATTCTTCATCATATCTGGGCTTTTGTAGCCGCCAATTGAGAAACATTACATGTAGATATTTTAACTGACCAGAAAGAAATCCCATTAGAGGCTGAGGCACTAGAGAGCAGCCATTAGCCATTACTAGCTAGTAGACATCCCAATCTCACACACACACACACACACACAAAGAGTGCTTCCAATTTGCCAATAAACTGGTATTTGAATGCATCCCATGCAGCAAAAGGTGGTAATTTTCTACACAATTCGTTATATGGTTTGAACCCCACTTGACACGGTTAAAAAAAAAAATACTATTAATTTAGTAAATCCGTTTTGAATTAGTATTAAATAAATTATTGTAGAAGTAAATGTTTTTTAATTTAGTTTTGTTAGGATATGAATGGGGTAGATTTTAACTTTATGAGTTCTTTTGCATTGTAGATTTAGTTGAGATAAAAACGAGTCCTCATCTGGGAGATTTGAGGGTCTGTTTGGTTTGTATTTTAAAAAACAGGAAAGAATTTTAAGAAAGTGTTTTTAAAAATATTTAGATTGTAAAACCTGTTTGGTTATATACTTTTGAAAATAGTTTTAAAAAATAAAAAATAATAAAACTTGTTTGGACAATGATTCATAAAATCAAATTTTATCTTATCACTTTTGGAAAAAAAAAAAACTTATTACTCCAGTGAGGCGTTAACATCCATTGGCTTCTCACCCATCAACTCTCTCTCTGTTATCTTTTCACACAACAAGTCTCCCTTTCTCTCCATTATCTTCTCACACAGCAACCATCTCTCTCTATTACCTTCTCACCCAGCAAAAACAAACACACACAGAGATACATATATACACACACATACATCACACAATATATATATATATATATATATATATATATATATATATGTATATATATATGTATATATATATATACATATATATATATACATA